CTCCCTGGGGTGCCTCACGTCCGGCCGACCCCTTCCCTGGAGCACACCCGCAAGCCTGGGGTTCCCACTGCCACCATCCAAGGCTCTGGACTCAATTCTGGCTCTGCGCACCTTGGAAAACGCAGGCCTCATTGTCCAATGGGGACTAGACCCAATACAGGCACTTGGGGCACTTCCCCCAAGTCAGGGGCTTATTAGGAAAGTCTCCCTTAGTCCACAGACCTAAGGGGCTTTCTCGGCATAATTTAGACCCACCCCTCAATAAGTCTCCCACACCGGTCACAAAGGAGAACTTTATTGATTACAGGGGGTAGGGTGAAAATGGAGTAAAAGGTAGAGCAATATCAGAGGAATATCAGAGGAATCCCATAGAGCAAACCAGTATGACTGAGGTATCCCTTTTGATCTCGCATCTGAGTTACTGTAAGCTAAATATCTAGTCTGATCTCGAGTAGCTTACTCACACGCATCATCCAGAGGTGGTTGGAGTTTTCCTCTGGAGGCAGGTCACTCTTTGACCATGCGGTTATGAGGAGAGAGCTAGTTTCAGATTCACCTGGGTGACCGCATGGCTAATGGCTACCCTTCTTCCTGGACCGGGACTAGCTACCCAATCTAAAAAAGCATCACTGGCTACCTGGGCCGGTGAGCGGAGCTTTTCCCTCCTCCTCCCCAGGTGACCAGAGCATCCGCCTCCGAGGCACCAGGCTTTGTCATGTAGGCAGGGAGGCAGATCCCCCGCCCTGAGGAATTCAACACCAGCCTCTCACGCTGGCAGAGACAGATTTCTGGAGAGGGACACAGATGGTGGCATTTCTGCCACAGTGGCAACCCCCTTCCCCAGCTGGGCAGTGCTTACCCGAGCCCCAGTCCCACTCCCCTCCCTCACTTTGGGGGCCTCGATCTGCCCCTCTTCCCCCACAACAGACTTATCAGCTGAACCCAGCTATTCTCCACACTGCCGGGTTGCGCTCCTGGCTGCTTGTGCTACGCCGTGGCTGCGCGTGTGCGCGCGACATTTATTGGCCACATCATTGGCCACATTGGCCAAAAAAAAAAAGCTGATTGCCAGTACTCTCAATTTTCCTCATATCAGTGTCAATCCGATATGGGATCGATATATCGGTGCACCTCTAATAATTTTACTGGAACTTTATTCATGATATATCCTATTATATTTCTATTGATCAAAAGTTTTAAATGCTTAATATCACTGAAGTCATTGGGGAAATGACACGAGTTAAATGCTGAGAGCATGAACCTAGAATCGAGCATCTGTTACACATTTGAGAAATGGAATTTAAAAGCATGTGCTTTCATCAGATACCAATGTCATTTCTCCATTTCATAAAATAGCATTACATTTTTTTCTCTATAACTTTATTTTTGAAATGATGGTCTGAAGCTGTACAAAAGAGAATCTTTTTCCTTCCCTGTGAAGCTGGCATAATTCCAAGTGTTAGAGAACAAATGTCTACTTGGTGAAAAACAAACTATTCATTCTTATTGGTGAGGCATAATTGCTTAACATGGCACCTTTTATATTTTAATGGATATATGTATTTTGGAGTAGTGAATACTAAAAGATATGACAGTTTTTGTACAGTTATGATGTATCTTTATTTTAAATCTTTTAAATCCTTTCTAGAGCTGAATATTGACAGTCAGTGTGAAGAATAATAAGATTTTGTACTTCTTGCTTTTTTTAGGATGATTACAGAGTCTGCATGGATTTTAATATTATTCAGAAAGATTCAGTACCAGTTTGTCCTGTTGATGCTTCAGGCTGCTTCACAGCAGAAGTGACTGATTTTGCTGGGCAATATGTGAAGGTTGGTGGATTTGGGAAAATATTAGAGCATTTTTTATTTTGATCTAGTAAGTGGTAGAAACTTGCCTTTCTCAATTGTTTTTTTTATCTTTAATGTATGTTTGACTGTGTTTCAAAGGATTAAGTGTTTGGCCAGATTGCACAAATGTACGTTGCAGTGCTCAGTAGATGCATAACATGAAGTGTTAGCAGTGGTGCAAATCTGCTAAGGAGAGTTGAGAACATAGACATAGTCCCTGCTCTGTGCTATTCCGTTTGTGGGGTGAGCCAAGACTTTTAATAAGACATCTCCCACTCGTCTTGTTGCTACCCTAAAACATTCTAAAATAGAAAATTGCACAAAAAGTGTAAAACTTAAGGTCTTGCTGCATATCAAGTACATTGCTTTTTGCCAGCTAGGGCTTATAAGGAAGTAAAAGCAAATAACATCCTTTTGAGGATCTCGTAGTTTGAGAATGTCAGTACTAAGCCTGATAAATCTAGAAATCACTTTCATAATGTGGTATTCTCCTTTCAACATGCATCCATTCGTTTATAAAACTTCCAAAGACACTTTTCTTTCAGGGTATGTTATAGCAAGTCACATGTTCAGTAAGCTGTCTTGGAATGTGTCTTTGACTCTTGGCCTAAATTTGAAATAATTGTTTTTTCTGAGCTAAATAGTTAATGAGATGCTACAAAAAAAGCCTTTTGTTGCTTTGTGGCCCTGAATTTAAATTTAGAATCACTGCAGGGATGGATTCAAGGGAGTGTGGTGGTGTCATTGCACCCCTTCAGCTGTGTGATGCTGGCACTGTGAGCTCTCAAAGCTCACTGGCCTGTCAGTGCAGCTCCTGCTGGAGCTCCACACATGCTCTGACTCTTCTGAGCTCATCAGTTGACCTGTACAGGCTATGACCACAACACTTGCTTTTCTGTAGCTCCAGAGCCCCATGGGTGGGTACTGCCATTTCTCATCCCCTCTTTTCCTTTGTTGCTGAATTTAGTGGGAGAAGGGCCCTAGAGGGGGTGGGGAGGATAAGGGAGAGCTAATAGGGGCAGCGCTCACCCTGGGCTTTGGAGCTGCGGCAAAACGGGCTGTGGCCAAAGCCAATCAGCTGGTGAGCTCAGAGGACTCGGTATAGGTAAAGCTCCTGCAGGAGCTGCTCTGACATGTCTGTGAGCTCAGAGAGCTTGCTATGTATGCACCTCACGACCAAAGGGCACGTGACTCTGCAACCCCTCACTCCAATCCTGGATCTGCTTATGATTTAACATGTAATTGTCATACCATGGAATGCTGCAGCTCCAGTGAGGAGAGGTTCATAGATCATCTAGGAGGCCACTTTATAGAATCGGGCCTCAAATCCAGAAGACTTAATGTTCTGCTATCTGAAATGGGACTTAAAACTGCCTGCCTGGCGGGTGTTAGAGGATACATAAGTGTATAAGGGAATAGACTAGAGAGGCTCTTGTGTATTTGGCATCCCATCTTGCAAAGTGGTGATGGGGGTGCTTTAATTAAAGCTTGTTCCTCCACCACCATTTTTAAACGCGGGACTCTGACTACATAAGATGCTGGAGCATTCTAATTAGAACACTCTAGCATACTCAATTAATTATTCTAATAATGCATCTGAGCACATGCATAAATACCCTAAGGTTCAAGTTAGGGTTCTAGGTACACATCAAAGACTTGTGAGCATGTTATCTTTCAAGGGTATTGGAGTATTTGTTATAAAGTACCCAGAATAGATACAAATCTTTTAAAAATGTTTAAAATTGGTGACCAAACCATGATGTTTTCATAACACTGTGTAGATTCTGGCTTTTTTTTTCTTTTTTAAATAACTGAAGGCCTGGCCCTCAAGGAAAACTCTGTCATTATGAAAATTGTTTGGTAACTTTAACCCCCCCCCTCCTCTTTTTAGGATGCAGATAAGAATATCATCAGGGCTCTGAAAGAGAAAGGTAGACTGGTTCACATCAGTACTTTTAAGCACAGCTACCCTTTCTGTTGGAGGTAAGAACAGAAGTGCATCTGGCTTTAGATCTATAGAGGAGCATGAGAGCTGTAATGATTAATTTGATGGTTGTTTTCCTTTTTTTCCTGTCTTCTGTTTTTTGGTAAGGTATGGAAGTACAAGTAATAAAGTCAGGCTGAACTGCAAGTGAACTGGAACTGAATTAAATCTACATAAAATACATTTCAGTTCTTGGGCTGATTTTCATCTTCTAATATGTTCCAGTCATTTAGTCCCAGAGAGTAATTGTCTGACCTTTTTGCTTTTGCAGCCAGATCTTAGAAAGGAAGTGGAGGTTTAAGTGGCTTCCTTTCACAGTTCTTTGTTCCAAACTTGAGGTAGTACACAAGCGACATGTTTAGTCATAGTTTTGCCAAATTGGCAGAATTATGCTGGGAAACCCAGCTTGGTATCAGTTTTTCCCTATGTCTTGTTCTAGATGAGGTGTGCAATTTCTTATTTGAGGTGCATCAGTATTAAACAGATTAATAACATATTTTAACAAATCAAGGACAATTGGTCTGTTGATTAAAAACATTAACATATGGGTGAGGTGATATTTTTGATTTGAGACCTTTAGAACATTTTCTTGAAGTATATTTTCAAAATGTTTTAGATTCTTCTTTTTATCTTTAGCCAGTACAAGCTTCTGGCAAATAGCTTTGTTCCATTTGCACTGCAATTGGTCATCGTTATTTTACGTAAGTTGCACAAGTTTCCTCAATTATACTGATATCTTTGGAACCCATGAAACCTCTGTAACTTGCACTCTCCAAAATGAAGCCCCATACTTCTACTATATATTGTTCGTTAAAAAGAAATATAGCTGTCAGGTTGATCCACAGAAATGTTTGTTAGCCTGTTGAATGAATTGATTTTTTTCCTGTTTGGTCTGATCCTGATCCTGTTGGTATCCAGCCAGTGGTTTAAAGGCAGTAGTGGTTTTGTCATTGATTTAAAAAAAAAAATAAAATAACCCCCCTGCCCCCCCAGAGCCTATGATTTTAAGATATTCATGGATTTCCTAAAAATGTTTTTTTATTAAACAACACATGCTATAGCCTTCTGCATTTATTTGTAACTGAAAATTGGCCTATGCTAGTTGTGTGTTCAAACCCTTTGAAGTTCCAGTTGACTTAAAGACTTAGATGTGTATATCACACCTATCTTAGTGTATAGTTAGTTTTTCAGAGAAGCATACTTAACTTGTGATCGAAATATGACTTCTTTCAGTTTGTAGTGACTCCTAGAAATGACTCCTAAAAAGGGACTGGAGGGGATGGGGATGGACCTTGGGTAGCAAGTTCAGAGGCAACACATTCACCTGGCCAGAATTGTGGTGTATTGCTACCCTAGCTCTTTGTACTTGGTGCTCTGCAGAGAAAGTGCTCTTGCCTTCTTAGAGGGACTGGACATGGTACAGTTATTTCTCTTCCTAGGGTTGAGTAGATTTGTAGAGAGCTCTGATTCACCCTTAGGTCAAAGAAATACGTTTTGCATGCTAGACCTTGGGCAATGGTTGGAGTAGATGGTAAAGTGTGTTTTTTCCCAGCCCTAGAAGCCTCTATTAACTTGAAGTTGGTTGGAATTGTTTGAGTTGCCGCTCTGTTTCTTTTATATTGATAGCAGAAAGCAACACGCAGTTAATACCTTTATGCCAGTTGTTTCTGTTGAAAATATGTATGGGGTTATGGTAGTGGTGATGGTGAGGAATAGCTGGAGATAAACATGTAGGGTGCTTCAGAAACTGGTGAATTTAAGGACTCAATGTTAATGTTTGCTCCTTGCTAAATTTCAGTCACCCTGTTAGACATCAGTTTCTAGCCATCTGTGTTTTTGTGACTTGCATCCACTTGCGTTTTCAAAATGTGCAAACGTAAATAGCTGGATACCTGCCTGGCCAGTGCATAGCCATCTGTGTATGCTCAGTCTCTGTGTTCATGCTCATGTGGTCACAGTGCAAGGGTAATTGAATGACGATTTGCACATACGTAGTAGCAACATCATTTAAGTAACTAGGAAATTGTCACTTAGGCTCACAAAGTGAAATAGAATTCCTGCCTATGGTGTTGTCTGTCTTCCTACTTCTAGCTGTTAAATTACACTTATGTCACTAAAAATTCTTGTTTGAGAGATTGTTGTATATAGAAGAGAGGCTATTTTTATAATGATCTTTTGCTGTAAGGCATTCTTACAGTTGTACAATCTAGCTTGTCAAAGAGAAGGTTAAGGTGTGACTTTCAGGCTACGGCTACACATTACACTTAAGGGCTAGGGACAGATGTTACACACAAACTGGTTTAAGTGATCAGAAACTAGTTTAAACCTGTACTAGAACAGACATTCAGTGCACATAAACCAGTTTGAAAATGTCTGAAACTGGTTTGAGATGAACCTGGTTGAATGTAGTACCAGACTTAACTGATTTGGCTCAAACCCATGTATGCAGTGTGTGTCCCAGACCCCCTGTGGTTTAAGGTAAATTGGAGACCCCCAGCATCCCAGCATGCTCTCTGAGCTGGGCTCTGCTCCAGAGACCTGGGCTGGCCCCTCCCCCCAGCTCTCTAGCTGGAGCAGGGGTGGGGCGTGGCCAGACGCTGGCCTGCCATGGCCCCTGAGGCAAATTCCTCCCTCCGTCCCCCCTCGTTCTTCTCCCCCACCCCAGCTGGCAAACCCTGTGGACCTCCACGGCTTTCCTGAAGCCCAGCAGAGATGGCATTAATTTCTTTCTCTGTCCATCTTGCCTTCAGTCAGGGAGGGGATTAATTCCACAGCGATCCGGAGTTGGGGAGAGAGGCAAGCTAGTCCCTTGTGAGCCCAGAGCTAACCTGCAAGACCAGACTGAGAGGTGGGAAGTGTTGGCAAAGATCTGACAATCATCATCACACATGTGCTAGAGATGGAGTTAGGGGAAGTTGCAGACAGCTTCTGGCTGGAATTTGTTGACCAAAGAATGCAGAGAGCTACATTTACATTATAAAGCAGAACCTGTGAAACCTAAATGAAGCCTTTCTGAATGCCTGGCTATAAGGAGATACTCTACCCTCAGGATTAGTAAGACTTATGCAAGGTTTCTCTTGTCTTCTTGCTTTACATTTTAAATTAGACTAAGTTGTGTATGCTGTGTTTTATTGGGCTGTACCTTAGCTTAGGCAAAGATATTTTTGTAGTTCCCTGTTGTATGCATTGCAGATTGCTACGTTCAATACATGCTTGCTTCAGAGAGAGGACTTTTTTCCCATCGCCACTTGTCAGTCTGACAGCAGCTTCCCGCCCCCAGGCTCGTGGCTGGCATCCTGTGTCTCCTCCTAGCCCCAGTTGGTGCCTGGCCATGCCCCCCTCTGCTCCAGCAGGGAGGGATGAGAGCCTTGGAGGGCATCTCTCTTCGCTCCCCTTTGGCAATGGTTGACAGGCATGCTCCAGCGCGCCCTGGCTTCTGGCTTGAGCCACTGTAGGCACATGGCTGCATTTCCTGGTTTAACAAAGAATGTCTGTTCAGTTATTAATCAGTTTAAACCGAGCAGCTTAGACTAACTTGCAAAGAGTGATTTAATTCAGGCTCAGGCTTTTTGAATGTCTGTCCCTAGACAAGGTGTGATTTAACCAGTTAATTGTATATTAACTGATCACCTGGTCATATGTTAAATCAGTGATATCATTAAAAAAGGAATAAGTGACAGAGTTATTCCACAAAATAGGTAGTAATTTGTAGGTGCTTCCTATCATGCCATTAATTGACCATGTGGCCTGGAGCCCCATCAACTGTTTAGTGCTTCCATCTGGAAGGCCCCAGTAATGGGAGCTTGCTTCTTGCCAGTGCTGGGGGAGCTCACTGATTGTGATCCTGGGTTTTCTCTGCTCCAGCAGTAAGGTGGAGCAGGATCTGATTTTGTGATCCCACAGTCAGCTCCTGCCATGCACTTGTGGCATAGCAGGAAGCGCATTTGTGTGGATCACACATCAGATCCCATCACATCTTTACCTGTCCATGTAGAGGGGCTCCAAATGTATAAGAACCCATATGGAAACAGAAATTTACTGATATTCAGAGACCTTCAGAGGGCTCTTGAGTCTAGTAGGGAAAAGTACAGGCAGTCCTTGGACTTATGACACAATTGGTTCCTGAAAACCACGTCTTAAGTCGAATCGTTGCAACTCTGAACCGATTTCTCCCATAGGAAACAATGTTATAAATGGGGGATTAGTTCCTGAACCAAGACCCGATACCCTATTTTCACCAAAAATAACCCAGAATTTGGTAATTAATCAATTATAGATGACTAATATAGCTACATTCATGTATTTATACTGTAAATAGAAATCATTGATTTGGAAGGATTTCTTCGAGGTGACTTTGCTGGACTTTTTGAAGGGCTCTTGACTCTAGTCTTCTCACGAGTCTTGGTTGCAGGTTTTTCTGGAGTCTTTTCTGCTTTTTTAAAGAAAGTGTCCAAGGAAGTCTGGACAGATGTTCTCCAGGGAGATGGGCGATGGAGTGAACTTGTTTGCTGGTGTGGCATCGCATCGCATCAAGCTTTGTAAAGTCAAAACTGACATCAAAGTTGAAACAGGGTGTCAATTTATAAATGTTGTAAGTGCAAAACGTTGTAACTCAAAACACTGTAAGTTGAGGACTGCCTGTATAACGAGATTCATTGGCTGGAAGGTGAAACCAGATAAATTCAGGTGCAGATTTTCAATTGGGAGGGCAGTTAACCGGTGGATTAATTTATTAAGGGCTATACAGGAGATCAGACTATGATCGCGATGGTTCTTTATTTGGCCTTAGTACGTATAGACAGATGGATAACCCATACTATCAGAGATAGAAGGGAGGTGATCCAAAAGATAATGATAGGCTACA